TGGATTCGCCGAATTCGCTGATACGCACTTTGTGGAATAACAGTCAAACATGAGGCCGCATACTGAATAATAATAGTAATAATAACAACAACTCCCATCAAATTGGGATGCAGGTACATATTCATGGAGAACTACCCACGGAATGTTTTCCATTTAATGGATTCACTGAACTCGCTGATACGCACTTTGTGGGATAAGAGGCCGCATACTGAATAATAATAATGATACTAGTAACAATAATAGTAATAACATTATTTGAGAACTATATATCATGCTTACCTACTTTCAAGAGGACCACGTTCTATAGCTTAATCAAACGACTTCATTTTAATTTTCAAATACCGCGACTGGGGCAGGAAGATTTATTACTTGGATGAAACCTGGATAAATGTATGGGCTGACTGTACAGTTAAATCAGGAAGGCAATCCTTCTTAGATGGACTAACCTCTGGCCTAAAGAATCCGTCAGGTACATGTATCTAACCAATTCGTCGCACGTGTTGTAATTGTAAAGGTATTTCAATATGGTCTCCTTTGAAGTACTTCCCCTGAGACGAAATTCTGCCAACGCTGTTTCCACTGTTGATACGATCGCTGAAGTCTTCAATTGTGATTGCATAGAGAGAGGGAACCACAACGCTCCGTATTTTCCTGTACAAAGGTATAAACTGACGTATAAAAGCTAACAAACCAGACAAAAGACAAAAGAAAGAACAGCTGTCTTATCATCAAGGTCGCCATTCCGCCAGACTTCAATCTGATTAAAAAGGAAGCAGAAAAGTATCAAAAAAAAATATAGAGACTTGCAGACGTAAATACAGCGTATGAGGAATACGTCAGCAAAAATAATAGGATTGATTTCTACTAATACTTTGAGGGCAACTGATGGAATACCCGGCAAACGCAACATATCTAAACGGGGTTGTTAAAAACAGCCCACATTGTCAAAAGGTAATATGAGGAAGAACATATCCGTTAAGCTTATTTCCCTGGGGATCAGGTTAATCCCCGGAATAAACCACCTATTGTAAGCCTTCAAAAGTAGAAGTGAATGTAAATATATAATAGGAATAATAACGAACATAAGACGATGAAAAACGGACAAAGTATCCGGAGCTCCTCAAGCAGATTTGCAGGCTTTGGTCAGACCACACTGTCATTCTGCTAGTTATTGCCATTGAATCCTTGGGTGGGATGAAGAATACCCTGCTTTCTGTGATAAAATCCATGACAATACGCCGAGCATCGGCAAGCATCTTAGAGCCGTATCGTCCTTCAGAAAGGCTTAGATATTTCTAGAATCTTACTGTTTCAGCGCTCTTCTATTGTGAGGTGTGAGGAGTGGCTATATAGTAAGCTGAAAAGCGCTGTTTCCTACGTCTATCCCCGGAATTTTAGAATACTCTAAATCCTCGTGTCACTTACTGTTTTTGAGATCCCAATGGTGAAGGTCAAATTTGCAACATCCGGTGAATATAATGATGTTGTTGCTGTGTAGCCTTTGATTAACGTATTATCCGACGGGTGGTCGCAAATTATCCGAAAAATGAGTTGATTGGAGCTGTAGTATCCACGTGGCAGTCTTGAAATAGAAATTGTGTGAGAAATGAAGCTGACACAGCCACTTGTGACTAGCTCGTCATTTGTGATACTAACGACCCCCTACCTACCAGCCCATGAGTGCAAACAAATTTTTGTTCGAATCGAGATACCCATACCCTCTATTTTTTCCATTTGTCTTGAACGCGGTACCGCCTTTCGGTCAAACTTTGAATTTGAAAGCTAAAAGAAAAACCACGTATCAATTTCAATACCTAATTCTTATTCGACAAATAAAGCACTGCTTCATTTGTATCCTATATTTTATAGATAAAAATACATTATTTACTAAATTTTCGTTTCAAAGTTTTGTTTTTACATTCAGGATATTTATTCCTCATCAGCAGTGTCTGCACCTTATTCTTAGCGTGTTGGACTATCGTCGAGAAAACTGTCATCAATTTTAGTTTCTTAGCAAGGACTTGCGTTTGATTAAAACAAAGTCATCGATATTTTTCTCTGAAATGAAAAAACGAAGAATAGCCACCTTCTACACATGCTAGTCTTGTACGTCCGACCGCGGGCAGTCAACCATGGATAGATGTTTTGTGCTTTTTGGCAACTCGTCAGCATCGTCTAGGCTTGGCCTCAGCTCAGGACAACGAGGTGTCATTTATTAGGTTAGGTTAGGTTAGGTTTCTTGTAAGTGCATTAATAACGATCCTCCACTGCGACTCTTTGGTCTATTTTGGCTCACTAAGTACCTTTTTTATACAGAATTATACAAAAAAAGCTTTGTACGTAGTAAGGAAAATTTTGCAATGACTTTTAGTATATACCGATTTTTCTAAAGCGTCTAATAGGGTGGACCATGGCGCACTTTTGAATAAACTCATACAAAGTTATCTCCATGAAAGGAAGCAATATGTTACTTTTAATGGATTCAAATCGTACCAGTATATAACTAAATCGGGAGTGCCTCAGGGTTCAAATCTTGGTCCTTTATTGTTTACCCTATTTATTAATGATGTGCATTCTTTAAGTTGTAATAAGCTCCTCTTTGCGGATGATTTAAAATTATTCAGGATTATTGATTCTGAGACTGATTGTATTGCACTTCAGCGTGATATTGATTCTCTAGTCGCTTGGTGTAACGAGAATAATTTATTTCTTAATGCGTCTAAGTGTAGTGTAGTCTGCTTTTCCAGAAAAACCTCTGCTTGTAAATTTAATTGTAAAATTGGGGATGCTTACGTAAATCGTTATAATTCAATTAAGAATTTGGGTGTAGTTTTTGACCATAAACTTGATTTTTCTCACCACATAGCTCAAAAGGTGAGTAAAGCTTCGCGGGCGTACGGTTTTATTGTGAGGAACTGTAGAAGCTTTGAAGTTGAGTCGTTAATTTTCAGATAATGATTGTAGAAGGAAGATAAACCAAAATATTATGTGTGTAAAAATAAAAAAAAAATGTGACCTTGTTTTATATATTAACAAAGGCACGAGGGGTTGGTTGCACTCGATTGGGAAACCGATCCGCATAAATCCGTGATGCCGCGGCAGCATTTTGTAAAGACTCCCCCCCGTAAATAAGAATCATGTCCACAAGTTCAGCATTTTCGTAAACATGTGCCATTTTTTATTTCGTTTGAGCCAAGCAACAAACACCACTATTCACTCACGCGTTACCGACTGACACATTGACTGAATAAAATTTTAGTAAAAACATCGTGATAAGCGTTTCAAATTCTTTCGCTTTTTTGTTTCCGATGCGATGAACCGATAAGGCGGATTATATCCGTTGTTGCCAAACATGAGCACATAATATTATTTTTGAGACAGGGCGGTACTCAAACTTCTAAAGGGCTATAACTTTGTTACTTTAATTTTACCAGAAAAATGTTAAAGGAAAAAAACATTTCTTTTGATCAGATCTACTCACTGTTAAAATAAATGACTCAACTTCGAAGTCCTAAACGTGGTATATCTGAACGTTTGTTATTGTCTAGGTTTCAAGCGCAGTCTTTAAAACTGAAAAGGAAGTGTGCATCACTTATGTTCTTGCATAAACCACTGAACAATCAAATTGATGCTTATGGGATTGTAGCTCAAATAAAGTTTAATGTTCCATCTATTCAGACTCGTACAGCTAAAACATTTTATGACAGGGCTCGCACAAATTTGTTTTTGAAGGCACCCATATATGTGATGTGTGAAACTTTCAATGCAATATCAAATTATTGTCAGTTTGAACAGCATTCTGGGAGTAGCTAGAAATTGCTTGGATAATTGATATGTTACTCACTTGAGTGAAATGTTTTTTGCTTCTTTTTCTTGTATGTTCTTTTCTTTAGATCAAATCACCTGCTGTTTATATGTCTTCTGTTCTTGTTATTTTGATTTATCTTAGGATTGTCCTGTAAATGGTTTCCTTAACTGTTGGGCAATAAACGCTATTTATTCATTTATTAGATAGACCGAATATTCTGGATAGAATATAGTTTCTCAGCTTTCGTCCGTTGTTCTACCTGAGACTAAACCTAGACTATTATGATGAGTTAAAATTAAGTGGGCAAAATTTTGTTCAAATTAAATTTGCAATAACTTTTTAATCCTTGCATCAATTTCGTTAATTTTTTCTTCAAGTTATAGGTAACTTCACCCATCATCATCGACTGTTGATCTTGCCAAGGAAATTGAAAATGTTTGTTGTTATACAGGGTATATCTAGAAGGTGCATTTTGCCCTAAATTTCTGCACACCCTGTGGAAACATTCGATCACTGAATGTGATAATTTTAAGCCTCAACTTTTCTCAACAGTTTTTTGATTCATATCAATATCTCAGTTATTGAAGAATTGTGCAACGACAAGATATATCGAATAGAACTACCATCATCCTGTAAAGCTACAGCTTGCGCTACTTGTTGCGGTGTCATTTGACAAGAATCATTTTGACATGCGATAAAAATGATACCAGACGCAGCCTAGTTGAAATAATTTCTTACCCGACAAAGTCTGCTGAAACAATTTCTTGTTTATGGCTATGATTCGCATGATTTTCTTCAAAACAGCATATATTCTTCAATAATTGAGATATTTACACGAATCAAACTGTTGAGAAAAGTTGAGGCTTTAAATTCTCATACGAAGACACATTATTCAGTAATCCAGTGTTTCCACAGGGTGTTTAGAAATTTAGGGCAAGATGCACCTTTTAGTTACACCGTGTATAACAACAAACATTTTCAATTTCTTTGCAAGATCGACCGTCGAAAATGATGACAATAAAGTTACAAAAATTAACGAAATTTATGGAAAGGTTAAAAAGTTATTTAAAATTTAATTTGACCAAAATTTTGTTTGTCCGATTAATTTAGCGCGGCAAAGTATATTACTAGTTTGTTTAATAGCTTGATTATCTATGACCGAGTGTTTTATTTGCATTTTGTTTCTTTACAGAAATACCTGGAACCACTCAAGGCTCCAGAGAATGCTTCGCTACTGGAACCTGCGGTTGTTGATGAGATATTTGCGGAGGTAAGGTGCACGAAAACAAAAACGGATATTGATTATAAGAGACTGTGAACTGTTATAGAAGAAGTCAAAGGTTACTGGCCTTAAAAAGTTTGAGAAGTACGGAATTAAAGTTTATCGTTGAATAAAGTTCGTTCATAGGAGAAGCCACACTGTGGCAGTATCAAATGTAAGCTGCATCGGGAAGCTGCCCTAGGCTCCGAATTTTTCTCTTTGTTTTCAGTTGCTATGATACTTTCTCCAGAACCTGGACTGTTCAGGTCACAATTTTCTTAGATATGAATGGTTCGTTTGAGCCTATATCAAATTTTGCAACAATTTCAATCAATGAATTAACGTCTTTTTTATTTGTAATAATACTACACGACACGAGATTTAGATACGGTATTTCTCACGAGTATCCATTACGTTTTTACGTCTACTGAGGTGAACAGCTGACCACAAAAGCGACATGTTTGTATTAGTCTGTAACGTGGGCAATAATGAACTTCAGGACCGTAATCAGAGCTGTTATTCACAAATCTGGATTATAATTTTAAGTGACTAGGAAATGTACAAATATAAAAATGTTTATTAGAAAATTGTTATAGTACATCTGGGATTTATTGGGCACGAGCGAAGTCAATAGAACAGGCTGCGTTTTCCTTTCCACAAGATGTAATTTTACCTGTTAACATAATATAGACACGTGTTTCTGGTTTATTGGCCATCATCACTATAACGTAATGCAAATACTGGTTGAGTATGTACATAAAAATTAGTAACGAATACGCTCTTCCTGGAATGGCACAGCATCAATTTGCTGAAAAACCGTAAACTACATTTCTTATTTCCCTCTCACGAGCGCTATCCGTTCCCACGCGATGTTTGCGTTTTCTTTAGATTATTGTAATGTTCTAAATAGTCGGATTATGCTTGTATTCACGAACACTCCATTGACGTAGTCGAATACATTTCATGACTTCCTGCAATAGTTGTACATCTGCACCTTAGCGGATATTATTGGCAAAAAAATGTACGCCACTGTCTTTTTTGTAACTTTAATATTTGCTGTTTGATCAACTATCTAAAAATACAACTGCTTTGCCTTTTGTATTTTTTTCGTATCTCACTTTGTTTTCGAGAAAAAAAATATAAACCGTTTTGTTGCATGTTACTGGACAAAATTGGTTTCTTAATTTTTGCTAAAAAAAATCACAAGTACCTTGGAAAACAAAAAACTATTTCTGCATGGAGGTTTGACATTTGCGCGTCAGTTCAAGTTTCAATAGAGTCGAATATATGTTTTTTATATTAATAATGGACCCGGGTTTATTTAATTATTTACTTTTGCTCACATTTTCTAACAAAATGAAAATATCTCTGTCTATATTTCGAACATCCTCTATATGTATTCTGGAATAGAGATGTGGAATTGAAAAGGTATCTCTCTCTGATATTAATGCCATGCATATTCCCTCTACGTATGAATTTGGTTACTAAATATGACGGTGTTTTTGAACAAAGAACCCTACGAGTCAGACTTAGGAGCTGGTATTTATACATTTTATCAATTTTCATCCAGTGACCTCCGTTATATGATCACATTTTCTTTGATCATTTAGAAGTCTGCAACATGTATTCATAATACCTTGAATACGATTTTTGTTATAATATGTAAATAGAGATAGTAAACCGGTAAGCAATGCGAAATTTTTGAGAACAAGAAAGATTCACACAACGGCTTTCTCGTAGATTTATGTATTATACAGGGTGGCGCATCGAAAACGAAACAGACGCATCTACTGGCAGCTCAGTTTTTTTTAGAAAAACGCTCAGACCCGTCGATTTTGTTTTCGAGGGGGACACAAGTTTGGTAAAAAATCACGTTAACATGTGCAGCCCCCTGGGCGGGGGTGACACCAACCCTGAAATCTTAAATGGAAAGGGGGTCGATTGATACCTTATTTTGAAGGTCTTTCAATTCCCTTTCCAGTGATGTAAAATACATGAGCTTCAGCTCAGTAGTTTTGAAGATTTATTGATTTAAAACTTAAAGTAGACTTTGATAGGTAGATTAGTTTGTACTACTTTCAGACGAAATTTGACTAAAATAATTTACTTAATAAGTAAATGCTTTTATTCACTACGCCAATGGTTTGTTTATCATTTTGTTGTTGAAAATATCTATTCGAGCGTTTTTTTGTGGCAAAAGTTATTTCTTGAAGACAGATAAGGAAATATCTCGTACTTATTTTAAATAGGAATTTAGTACATAGTTTCCGATTGATATGAAAAAACTTTCTTGCTAAAATAACTTGTAAGGCTTTATTACATACATTAACCATTGTAAATTCCACAGCAGAAAGAGTTGAAATTATCGATTTTTTTTTCGGAAATAATCAGTGCGCTAACAGAACAGCAGAAATATTTAATGAGCGACATGAAAACAGTAACGTTCATCGAAAATTTGTTCTAGAACTTGTAGCTAAATTTCGGGAAACTGGGTCAGTCGCCAATAAAAAACACAACATTGAAAATCCCATAAGGAACGAAGCAATAGAAGTGGGGGTTTTAGGGCAAGTTTATGTAGATCCTACGTTGAGTACCTGCAAATTGGAGACTGTGTGTGGTGTTAATCGACGTACTGTCCAACGGATTCTAAAGGCATCCGTAAAAAATTCACGTGGTATAAGAACCTAATGATTTTGATTTTGAGCAATTACAATTTTGTGAAGATTTGAGTGAACGAATTATAAACGATGAACATTTTCTATTCAACACTTGCTTTTCCGACGAATGTTCCTTTTTCTTAAATGGCGTAGTAAATCGTCATAACTGCCGATATTGGTCCGATTCTAATCCCAGAATTTATCATGAGGTTCATACACAGCAGCCCCAAAAATTAAATGTTTGGGCTGGTATTTTTGGCGATCATTTAGTTGGTCCTTTTTTCTTACCTGGAAATGTATACCATCAACCCCCGTTCAAATTTCCCGCCGTCTGATCCGCCAATCATAGCACGCGGTGGGCGTAGCGGGGCCCGCCAATCAACATATACCATCAACCCCGTTCAAATTTCCCGCCGTCTGATCCGCCAATCAGAGCATGCGGTGGGCGTGGCCAAAGTGGAAGTGGTGGGGGGCGTCCAAGGTAGCCTAGCCTCGACTCGATCTATATGCAAATATTTACCACAAAACATGAAATGAGCCACATCACTTACGCATAGACGTGTTTTCCTATCTATTCTGTTGAAAAAATATCCCTATCCCAAAGTACAGCCAATCAACATATACCATCAACCCCCGTTCAAATTTCCCGCCGTCTGATCCGCCAATCAGAGCACGCGGTGGGCGTGGCCAAGGTGGAAGTGGTGGGGGGCGTCCAAGGTAGCCTAGCCTCCGGAGAAATGTATTTGGAATTACTGGAAGACGGAATAGATCCTGCATTAACAGCCATAATTGAAAATCAGAATGATCGGCGGTACATTGCGAATAGGTTGATGTTCCAACAGGATGGTGCCCCTTCTGGATTTCTTTATGTGGGGTCTTTTAAAAAGCTGCTCAGCCAACATCATTAGAAGACCTGCGACAAAGAATTGTGAATGAGTGCCTTGAAATTACTCCTCAAATATTGCAAAATGTGCGGCAACGTTTTGAGAAAAAATCTTTATTATTGCATGGAGAGTCATAGTGGTCATTTTCAACATTTACTTGCCTAACGGGTCAGTTCATTTTTAAATTACTTTGCTGCCAAATGTATTGATCTCCACTAATGATGTATTAGTTTTATTTAAGCTTTAAATCAATAAATCTTCAAAACTACTGAACTGAAGTATATTAATTTTATAGCATTATAAAGGGAATTGAAAGACCTTTAAAATAAGGTATCACTCGACCCCCTTTCCGTTTAAGATTTTGGGGGTGGTGTCACCCCCGCTTAGGGGGCTGCACGTGTTAACGTGATTTTTTACCAAACTTGTATCCCCCTCGAAAACAAAATCGACGGGTCTGAGCGTTCTTCAAAAAAAAAACTGAGCTGCCAGTAAGTGCGTCTGTTTCGCCACCCTGTATATTAACAGAGGCGTTCATTTGAAAACTCCTGCCAATTTATTTGAATTTTGAAGCACACGTTTGTCCTTCCACCTTTTCGTTCATGCTGTGTGATTCAAGATATAGTGGCTATATTTTTAGGTGCATAGGGATCCTATAGCTAAACCAACAATTTTCGTTTTTTCTCTTATTGGTCTAAATGTTACTTTATACAACAGAGACGAATTTGTTGTTAGGTCAATTAGAATAAGCTTGATGTTTGTTGCAGATTCCGTTCCTCCTAAACCAGCATCAGGAGTTTTGTAACGATCTGAAAAAAAGACTGGACCAATGGGATACGAAGAAGAAAGTTGGAGACTTATTTTTAGAAATCGTAAGTTGCCATTGCCTGGCATTAGTATCGCGGACAACTGTGGATAAAAAAGCGTATTTAAATTAATTAATTAAATAAATTAAGGCTATATTTTTTCAACTAAAATAATATTTTTTCCAAAAATATTTCTTTTGTGTCATAATTATACAGGGTGTATAAAATTAGCAATATTCTATCTGGGGTAATCCGTGCCTGGTTAATTAAATAAGATAACTGTTTTTTATAGATACTAGTTTATTTTATACGATATTCTTTAAGAATCATTAAAAAAAACTGATTTTCAATGGATTCTTTCAGGAGCTTTAATATCTGAAACCTGGACGTGTGTTTTTCACATTTAATTTATTAATATAGCGATCTTGCATTACAGTTTTCAAAACCAGAAGTAGTGGAGGGGTACTTGAAATATGTGAACAGCTGGAAACGATCGAGGGAAATCCTCAAAACTACACAACAGCAGAAGTCTGCATTCACGAAGTTTCTAGAGGTAAAACAGTATTACGAAAATAAAACGCGACTGAAACTTTACAAAGCTTTCTAGCCCCAAAACTTCGATTCATATCAGCGGAACAATGATCGGGAAAAAGTGGCGTTATTTTTCAAACACGTTATTTCAAAAATGTCTGAATGTATGCTCAGGTACCAAAACGGAGGAGAGAAGGATGACACATCGTACGATATACAGGGTGTAAACTTTATGATAGTCATTATTTAAATGGGTGATAGACATGGGGGTCAAAACGGCATTTTTTTAGAGAAAAGCGACTTTAAAGTAAAATAAAATCTGACAACGCCGCAATGCCAGACGCAAATTACGACGGAACACAGTGTAAATAAAGATGGAGTTTGTTATTTTTGGCTCTTAGGTACTATTACATTATCTGATAATGTACTCGTAAAATGCAAACAATTTATAAAAACGGACTTACCACTAACTGTCTCAGCGCTTCACCTGGTGTGTGAAAGTTTATTGAACGTATTAAAGAAAATCCACTTATAAATAGGGAACACAGCTTTTCGTTTTAAAACCCACACTGCACTTTTTTGTATTTAAATTCAAAATGTCGTCCTCCACTTTCCACACAAGCTTCATTACGACTTTCACGAATGGTATGAGGATTTTCTTGGGCACACGTGTGAGTATTATGGAAATCTAATATCCTCGCGTCAAAGTACATTCGTCCGTCGCTAGAATGTTTTTAAAAAAATCCTGATTTTCCACTGACAGAAAGTTAGTCTGCGAGGATAGACTCCTGGTAACAAGGCCTGCACTCGTTACCACCGTTACCGTTTGCGATCGATTGCCGGTTCGATAAGGGTGATGATGACTGACGCGCTGTTGTCATGTGTGTTTTAAATATTCAACTTAATGAAACTTATTTACTTACTGACTACAAATTTTAGCTTAACTTAGAAAAACTTAATGCCATTTATTTGTTAATTACCTAATTTAAAAACGTTTTAGATTAGATTATAGAAATTAATAAGATTGTAGTGACTGTCGTCGATATAAAGTTGTAAACTATAAAGCCATTTAGACAAAAATCTATTGACTTTTGGACCATGGGTCATATGAACTTTTTGACTTGTTTTGACCCCCCCCCCCCTATTACTCATTTCAATAATGATTACCATAATGTTTAAACCCTGTATTTTGCTATTCTCTTTCGTTTAGGTTGGTGGCTAGAATATACAAAGAGCTACGAAGCACGTTGAGAATGTATACATCTATACATAGTACAAGTACAAAGTTTCTCACCGTCGCCTCTTCTCGATCGTCCGTAATCAACTGGATTTCATTGTCGATAATGTTTTGACATACAAATTCCTACTAGTATTATACATGAGAAAGTGTAGATGTTCGTTACTCAATCACGCATAAATGCCTTTACGGAGATGGATGTAATTTGGTACATAAATAGACTATAGTCTGGAATAACACATGGGCTACCAACTTTGAAATATGTATTTCACGGGTAACAGCCCAAATGGCTTAAATAAACTTGACGTTAGGTGTCTGACGCAAAGGCGTCCAGTCGCTGGACCGACCGCAATGAATAAGGGTTTAAAAGTAGGACATTTGCATCATGCATTTACTGCATGTCGACATTCGTTAGCGTGATGATTTAGATTGGTTTTGGATCTTGTTTTACTTCAGGTAACGGGTGATTTTTTAAGAGGTATAGGATTTGATTTAAAAAAAAAACACAAAAAATTTGAAAAAACGATTAAATCTTTATTTGAGTCGATAGAACGGTCGATATAATTTAATGTTTAAAGATTATTTCATGTAAATGTTGGCCGCAGCTCCGCTTTAGATGGCCCATGCGTAAGGTCCAATTTTGGCACACTCTCTCCAACATATCGGCCGGTATCTCACGAATAAATGCTTCAATATTGGCTTCCAGTGCTTCAATCGTTGCTGGTTTATACCTGTAGATATTAGCCTTAACATGACCCCACAAGAAATAGTCCAACGGCGTTAAATCACACGATCTAGGCGGCCAATTGACGGGCCCCAAACGTGAGATAAACTGTTCACCGAACTCGCCTCTCAATAGGGCCATTGTTTCGTGTGTGGTGTGGCATGTGGCACCGTCTTGTTGAAACCACATGTCAGCCAACTCCAGCTCTTCCATTTTGGGCAAAAAAAAGTTTGTTATCATCGCACGGTAGCGCTCGCCGTTCACAGTTACGTTACGGCCATTGTCGTCTTTGAAGAAGTACGACCCGATGATGCCACCGGCCCATAATCCACACCAAACAGTGATTTTTCGGGATGCATTGGTAGCTCTTGCAATGCTTCTGGCTGGTATTCACTCCAGATGTGACAATTTTGCTTGTTAACGTACCCATTCAACCAGAAATGAGCTTCGCCGCTGAACACAATTTTTCGATAAAAATGTGGATCTTCCTCCAACATTACCAGCGCCCATTCACCAAATTGGAAACGTTGTGGGAGGTCGTGTGGCTTCAATTCTTGCACCAGCTGTATCTTATAAGGTTTTACACCCAAATCCTGTTGCAAAATTTTCCACGTAGTGGAGTAACAGAGGCCCAATTGCTGCGAACGGCGGCGAATCTACATTTCACGGTCATCACTAACACTGGCGGATACAGCCGCAATATTTTCTTCAGTCCTCACTCTACGTGTGCGTGTTGGTGGTTTAATGTCCAATAATGTAAACTGGGTTCGAAATTTAGTCACAAGCTTCCGAATAGCTCCCTCAGTAGGCCGACCAAATTGCCCATAAATTGGAAGCCGAGCATGAATTTTGATAGTAAAATTCAATAATTTGCAAGCGTTGTTCGTTCGTAAGTCGATTCATGGTTAAATTATAGACCAAACTGAACAAGTTTGACAACGACACAAGACACGATTCACGCTTCATCTGTCAAAAACAGTGTTGCCAAAAAGATACTAGCAAAAAAATCACCCATTATAATACTGATACCAGTTATTGCCAAGATCTTTAAGGAGGAGTGATCTGCTACCATAGGGAATAGCCCCCCAAACCATCACTCCAACAGCCCCGTGATGATGCCTCTCAAAAGTAAAGCCAAAATCACATCGTTCAAGACATTTTTTATCAGCCTTTAGAAATGGAAACTTATTCCTGGCCACCTAGTACTTACACACTTTCACAGTTATAATATTAGTAGGGACTTACTTGACTGTTCACGCGTTAAAACATCACTTTTTATTCATCTGAAAAATGTCACTAAAAATATCGTTGTTTCTAGCATACAGCGAGGCAACATGCTGGCAAGTTAGCTCTAGATTCTTTGCTGATAAAACCGATCCAGAAATTCCCAAAATACGAACTGCTCCTACAACGACTAATCAAACATACAGACGAATCTCATCCAGATTATAACTTACTTCTGGATGCGGAACAAAAAATCCACGATCTCTTAGTAAAAATAAACTGTTCAGAAAAGGAATCTGAAGGACTAGACCAACTAAAAGAGATCGAAGGATTGGTCGACGGCCTACTAGATTTAGTTTCACCGGAAAGACAATACCTAAGACACGATGGCGTCACAATATCATACTGCTCTGGACCTAGGAAGGAGCGGGCAATATTCCTCTTCTCGGATCTCTTACTCATAACTAGCATCAAAAGGTATCTTATTTATCTCGTTCAACTATCAGGTAACCAAATAAGTTCGTGCGGTTGCTGTATATCGCACATTGCCATGGATGCTGTTGATCGACAGCGATTGTCTGTTACCTGTTGTCACTTTAGTATGAATCCTTCTTTTCTCACACACATAAAAAGTAGCTTACAATTGTTACATATCTAGTTTTAACAATTGAAAATGGCGACGAATAAAACAGTATTCGAAGTTGTTTACTGTATGAGTACAAACTTGGTTCAAAAGCTGCAGCGGCAGCGCCAAAAATATGTACCGCATTCGGAGATGATGCCGTTAGTGATCGGACAGCACAGAAGCGGTTCAAAAAATTTTCAGTTTGAGCGACGAACCGCGCTCAGGGAGACCAAAAATCATGAACAACGAGGATCTTCGACGGGTTGTGGACGCAAATTCAACGACAACGTGCCAAGAACTTGCAGAAATGTTCAGAGTGCGTCCTGGCACTATTCGTTTGCATCTTCATCAGCTAGGAAAGACGTGGAAGTTAAGCAAATGGGTCCCACATGAACTGACAAATGATAACACATTAAATCGTCTTACCATTTGTTCCTTGCACCCAAACAAGGCGTTGTTGTGTGTTAGGTGGACAGCAACTGGAATTGTCCATTATGAGTTTTTCGCAAACAGCCTTCTTTGATCAATCGGAAGAAAGCGATATTCTTGCAGGATAACGCCAAGCCTCATAGCGCAAAAGTGACCCGAGAAAAAATTTTTGAACTCGGCTGGGAAACGTTACCACACCCGCCATATTCTCCCGTGTCGCCCGGTGATTATCACTTTTTTTTGTCTCTTGACAACTGTATGAAGCACCGACAGTTCACAACTCGAGATGGTGTAATGCAGTCCGCCAATTTTTTTACTCCAAATCCATTGAGTTTTGCAATACCGGCACGTTGGCAAAAGGTCATTGAATGTGATGGTAATTACTTCGTCTTATTGTTTCTCAATAAAAATTTATATTTTTCACGAACTTATTTGGTTACAAAAAATGAAACACCCAGTAAGATGATTGTGGTTTGAATTTAAGGACCTCGCACAAAACTCAGGGCTTATGAATCGACATTAAGCGAATTCTAGCTGGGTGTTCTATTTTCTTAGACACTGATTATATCCCTAATAGCACAAATATGTTACAAAAACGCTTCCGGAACGACCCGGTAGGTCGCCCAAACTCGCAAAACGTTCCAGAAATGTCGTTCCAGGAACTGATGAAATGGATCTGCCAGGGCAGTATGCCTGTACGGGGGCAAGTGAGAATGTAAAAATTCCATAAAAACAAGTATCTTGGAGGTATATTTTTGGAACATTTTATTTTTCCTATTACATATTAATCAATTTTAAGGCGATATTAACCAAACCAAAGTTGTGTCTCAAGTATAATTAGTTCTGGATATGTGCAAGCTGAAAAGGAAAATTCTAATCAACTATGACACATATACAAGCACAACTATAAACAGTCGAGTAACAAAAATGAACAGAACTTGATTTATGGAGAATTTGATTGTCTGCTTATCATACGTTTATAAAGTGAGCCTAGCTTGTCTATTAAACTTTTTCTCGAACACAATCTCAAGTTTTGCTCTTTTTTTATACTCCAACTACCACGAAGGCCTAAGGCCTAAACACCTATTGGGTACCGGGGGGCTATAGGGGATACAGGGGAAAGGGGGAACGCCACACGGACTCAGGAGACCGAAGAGTCTACTACTGCGGCCACCGCTGCTGCCATGCCATGTTATAGCAGATAAAACCAAGCTGTCACATTAACAAAAGATCTGATAAGGACAAGCTTATGCATTAAAAGTCGGCATGTATCAAAAGAACCGCAATTGCAAAAATCACAAAATTCGATACAATAACAGCAACACAAATATTACAGCACAGGGCACATCTCACACACAAGAGTGTATATTACAGTAGTAGATAAAATTTAGGTTATTAACAGAATAGTTCACTTCAGACTAAAAAGCGTATACACCCTACTTTGTAAAATAATAAGTCTGGCATTGATGAGCGAATCGAGTTAAAAAATGCGTCGCTAAGGACGCCCCCGCGACCACCTGATTGGAACGTTTCAGGAACGGCACCAATGGGACGTTCTAAAGGGTTGTCCAATAGGGACGCAGGAAAGTAAACGTCAATTTGACATAAACGCCATCTTTGTTTTCTGTCACCGACATGTCATTTTGTTAGTTGAATGTTTACCATTGATCGCTATGGAGTCGTATTCGATTGAAGACCGCATTAAAGTTATTCAAGAGCACTACAAAAATGGTGCAAAAATAAAAAACACGCGCTTCGTGAACATTTCGGTCGCAACAAACGCCCAAACGAAACAACCATCGGTCGTCTGGTGCGTAAATTCGAGGCAACAGGTTCTGTGGCAAATCTGCCAGGCTCTGGCCGGCCAAGGAGCGTTCGCACACCGGAAAATATTGCTGTTGTGAAGGAGAGTGTGAGAGAAGATCCGAAACAATCAACAACGCGTCGATCCCGAGAATTGGAGATTTCGAGAACCAGTTTGCTCCGCATTCTCCACAAGGATTTGAATGTACACGCCTACAAGATCCAATTGACGCAAGAGCTGCGCCGGGCCGACCATTTTTCGCGCCGAACGTTCTCAGATTGGCTCCTTGAACACCGCCAAATTGATGCCAATTTTTCATCAAAAATCATGTTCAGCGACGAAGCGCATTTCACTTTGAATGGGACGGTAAACAAGCAAAACTGCCGCATCTGGGCGAACGAAAATCCCCGTGAGTATCAAGAGCAGCCGATGCATCCTCAAAAAGTGACTGTGTGGTGTGCATTGTGGTCAAAAGGTATCATCGGACCTTACTTTTTCGAAAATGCCGTTACCGTCAATTATGAGCGATATCACGTGATGATAGAGGACTATTTTTTGCCGCAACTTGAAGGAATGGATATGGACGATGTTTATTTCCAACAAGACGGTGCAACATGCCACACAACCAACGTCCATCGATTGCAGTCCTTCTTCGGTGATCGCGTGATTTCGCGCAGAGGAAATGTGCCATGGCCACCAAGATCGTGCGACTTGACTCCCTTGGACTTCTTTTTATGGGGATATTTGAAAAGCAAAGTCTACGTCAACAAACCAGCCACCCTCCAAGGACTCAAAAACAACATCATTACCGAGATAAATGCCATAGAACCGACCATGTTGCAAAATGTCATTGAAAATTTCGACCATCGCGTGGACGTCTGTAAATCCAGTCGTGGTGAACATTTGAGCGATATTATTTTTCATACATAAATGGTATAAATGAACCTTTAAAATAAAGTACCCAACTTGATTTGAATATCAATCGTTCTTGTTTTAATATGCGTTTACTTTCCTGCATCCGTTTTGGACAACCCCATATGAATGCGCCATTTGGAAACAGGACCTACCGACCAAATTTGCATCTAAATCGGACGTTCCTGGAAGCAAGTGTGCTATTAGGGATCTCATAATTATCTTATATCACCATTAGGCGTAGCTGTACTGGAAAGAAGTCCAATACAGGTCAAGGAAGCTTGGCCGGTAACATTGACGCCCACAAGTACAAGCTTCTGATGCGCCTGCCCCTTGAAGATCTTGAAGTTGTTCGACCTAAAGACGATAACTACCACAAGGTGATGCTAGAAATCGAAAACCTGACAGAAGACATCTCAACATTAGACCAGATCAACGATCTCGTTCCCAAGCTCCACTGCAGCCATTCATCGCTAGAAGGTGTTGTGAAAAATATGCTTGCATCTCTTCATAAGCAGCTCATCGAACAACAACTTCTTGAAGTGCAGCTGTCTTGCTTAGAACTCACATTAAAAACTCCGTGAGTACTTTCTATTCAAGTTCTCTACACGGTATATATACAACAAAGATCATTGATTAACACATTCCACCAGAAGGTGCAAAATCCAAATGTTTAAAGTTTGATGGCAATATGGATGATTATCATTTGTTTATTAATGCCGTTTGATGACGTGGCCGATGATTGGTGATGTGTCTCTTGTTCCGGTTGGTTGAGATGCAGTTGTTTGGTGTCTTACAATAGGTTTAAATTCCCCACTTGGATGACTATAAACATTTTCGTTCATTATTATGAAGGCCGCTGGAACGCTGTTGTTCTCCCCTTCCCTGTAAACTTCACCAGTAGTAGCCAACTTATACAGGGTGTTTCAGTTTATTGTTGCATAACTTTAAGATTCGATAGAACTTTTAAAATTAATGCATAAAGTCTATATAAACATGGGTCGAAAAATGCGTGGCTTCCGAAATACAGGGTTTAAATTTACTTTCTAAAATAGTTTTTTTAAAATATTTCGAACAATATTTGATGTATAACAGTGAAAATTGATATACCTCTAGCGGCTACAGTAAAACTATGCCCATGGTTCGTTTTGTCGTACCAAAAAACCATTGTATACCAATTTTCACTGTTATACATCAAACATTGTTCGGAATATTTAAAAAAAACTATTTTAGAAAGTAAATTTAAACACCCCGTATTTCGGAAGCCACGCATTTTTCGACCCATGTTTATATAGACTTTATGCATTAATTTTAAAAGTTCTATCGAATCTTAAAGTTATGCAACAATAAATTGAAACACCCTGTATAATCAGTGACAAGGGACACGCCACAATTACCTAGCATGCAAGTTGGTTGTAAATCTACTAATGCCACCAAGGATACAAAACCTTATCGGAAGCTTATTGCTTCACTTGGGTGCCCAAACTATGGAACAATCTGCCTAAAATTTATTTAAAACTCACTTATTTCTGTTCAGAGTGATTTTTAAAATGACATTCATTGATACCAGAAAACTTTCAAAAACGCGTGTGTCTGTTCAGTACTAGAACCTACAGAAAAGGTATTTTCCCCATATTTGCACTTAGGGTTAAAAATTTGAAACTGCAAGCATGGTGCTTTCTCCAAGTTAAAATCCTATGACAGGCAGACCTCCATGAGAGTTGATAGTACCCCTGGATGAAGCAACATATTTGTATCTTCAAAGGAAGGTCCACAGAAACTCTCAAAACAATCTACGTTAATTTTTTGCCCACTGTATATTTGAATGATTTGTAAATTCAGTATTTAGCAGGCGAAGGTATACTCTATAGTTAATATACATAAACTCTTATGCAGGCATTTTTTTAGAACCAGCACGGAACCGCTTTCCATTATATTTCACAACGCAGAGAAAAGAGCAACATGGGAAGAAGCCTTTTCGGATGCCAAACAAAAACTTGGTAAGTGCAATTTTTTATATGTACTCTAGATCTCTCAGTACTATTTCAGACGATTCCCTTTTATCTTCACCAAGCTCATTCATACAGAATAAAATCAACGCTGGCTGGCAAAGGTTTTGAGAAGCGGTATATGGAAATGGAACCAGCACTCGACTTAGTTGTGGAAACTTCATAAATCTTTAAAATATTGCCAACTGTATCTACTAAGGTGTTAGTTTTCTGACCTTACTTTTCATTTGATTGTTTATTAATTGAAATTATTAACAATTAAAAATAGAATGAGTACCGACGTGCAATACTTATTTTATGCAATAAATATTGTATTGTACGTGCCATCTCTTTTGCTCCGAATGCGTTCTCCCTCTCTCGTGTGCGCAATCCCAGCTAATCTCTTCCAACACGTGCGACATGAGGTCGTGCATTGTCCTGCTGAAAAAGTACAGCTCGGAATGCCTTCAAAATTCAATAAATAATTCTGGGCGTTGCATTTTATATGTCACGTGGATGAGAATTTACAATATCCCTATTCCAGTATTGACCAGCGACAGAAGATCCCTTCCAGAAATGATAGCAACAGTTCCAGTCCGTAAAACGCGAGCAGGTCTCCAGTTCACATGCGCGGCCCCAACTTTAGAAGAGGAGGACAGGGAAGTTTGGGTCTGCAATAGTGATGGATACGTAGGACAACTTTGCGTGCTCAGCCTCGAACCCGAACCTAATGTCGTATCCTGCAATGGGGTATGCAACTCCAGAATTACCTGCATCTCCTCAATACCTGCGCTTGAAGAAGGGTAAGAAAACAATGGGTAATAATAGTAAAGATAGGAAGGCTAAGCTTGGCAGCTGGGCCACCTTTGATCCTTAGACTGCGATAAACTGATATCTGCCGGTGAGCTGGAAAATGGAGACTAGTACCGACTTCCTCTCTGACGAGAGATCTGCTTGGGAGGCAACAATCTGCTGAAGTTTATTGCTTCCAAAACACAGTTCTGTACCTTGACTAACAAGAGTTCTACCAAAGAGCCGTTCATTTCGACTGGTCGGAGTCGAGATACCGACACTTGATCTGGCACGAACACATCTCGTTAATAGAGGCAGATGCTGAAAGAAAGCTAGGCTATTGGTTAAAGGCTAAGAAGTATGTTTCTATACCTATCCTGCTCACTCTGTAGAGTGAAAAGGAAAGGAAAATCCACCAATCCATTCAAACCACTCATATCAAATCTAACAAAAAAACATTACAGAATACTGAGGCTAAACAAAGAAAACCTGAAAGCTCTAGTCAGACGACTCTCTTTCTCACTTCTGGATTCTTCTCAGACATAGATATATGCATTCAATATTTCATTAACATACCCTACTAAGATCGCTTGTCTTACTGTCCACAACAACCATCTAATAAACATTTGCAGAGAGGTCAGTGGGGGAGCATAATAGTGCTGATGATTAAAAAAAAACATAAATTAATTCTAGGGATTCGCTGCCTCCTCAGAGACCAAAAAAGAGCGAGCGTACAAGAAGATACAGGAACCAGCGACGACTCAAGCCCATGTACTTTGACAGCAGTTCATCTAGCGAGGAAGAAGAGGCGACAGCTGGGCCTTCTGAAGACCCCCAGACATCTTCAGAAACAGACAAAGGCTCGGAAGATAGCAGTGATGACATACAGCCCTCGACTATGTGGATCGGTACTGAAGATGGTTGTATACACGTGTACAACGCCACTGATAATATTAGGACACGAAGGCAGAAGACCAAATTCCAGCTGAATGCTTCAGTTACCTCTATAGTGTGAGTTCTATTCTGTTCTATTCTGTTCCATGCTGTTCTATTCTGTTCTATTCTGTTCTATTCTGTTCTATTCTGTTCTATTCTGTTCTATTCTGTTCTATTCTGTTCTATTCTGTTCTATTCTGTTCTATTCTGTTCTATTCTGTTCTATTCTGTTCTATTCTGTTCTATTCTGTTCTATTCTGTTCTATTCTGTTCTATTCTGTTCTATTCCGTACTATTCCGTTCTATTCCGTTCTATTCCGTTCTATTCCGTTCTATTCCGTTCTATTCCGTTCTATTCCGTTCTATTCCGTTCTATTCCGTTCTATTCCGTTCTATTCCGTTCTATTCCGTTCTATTCCGTTCTAGTCCGTTCTATTCCGTTCTATTCCGTTCTATTCCGTTCTATTCCGTTCTATTCCGTTCTATTCCGTTCTATTCCGTTCTATTCCGTTCTATTCCGTTCTATTCCATTCTATTCTATTCCGTTCTATTCTGTTCTATTCCGTTATATTCCGTCTGCATCGTTTTAGATATGACGGATGTAAAATACGTTTAGCTGCCTGCAATATTATCGAACCTTTTGCTTGCTGTAAAATGTATCTACTAATTCCTTTAAAATACACCGTTTCCAATGTTTTCGGTACTACCTTTGACTAATATTTTAAAGTTAGCTCTACACATTTTGAATGGATAATTGCAACAAAGACGATTATTATTAGATTATATGATGTAAAGTGTCGTCGATAAAGTCTCGGAAGGCCAGTGTCAATGGACATTCCCGTATGGTTATTTCACATGACTTATGCGTTTGTGCATGACTTACACTCTTCTGATACCTTTTTTATTTTCCAGGTTTTATGAAAGCAAGGTATTTGCCTCAGTAGTGAATGGGGAGCTTGTAGTTTTCTGCAGAGATGCGAGTAAGTTCATAATCTTAGTACTGTGCAATTGAAGCCCCGTGTCTACGAAATACTATTTTAAATCGATATTTTCAGTTCGATTGTAGGAAGTCCTTGTTTTCAAAAAGCTTTTTTGAAAAATCAACCATTTTCTCTGAGGGAACCATGGACGGTTGGTTCGTGCTTAATAATTTCGATCTAATTGGGGCTAAATTAGCCCCTTACCGCCCTCAATACCACTGCTGAATTTGAACAAAATCGACTGGAAGTTTATCAAGATATTTGGGAAATAACGATTTTTTAAGAAAAGTTTAACACTCTGTATCTTGAAAATGAAGCATTTCTCGCCCTATGTTTATATAAACTTTTCATCTTAAAATTACTCAAAGAATCAATGGAGTTTGGCCACGTATTTAAATAACACCCTGTGCAAATATAAAAACGTTAGCGTGGACAGAACTAGCTATAAAAATAAATAATTCCTTCTAGATGGAGGTTGGAGCGGTAGCCATTCAACCCTGGTCCTCAACTTATGTTCGTTCGGCATGCCATTCAGTAAACTGCTTCCATCAGTTGGGAAACTCGTCTGTATAATCGCTGGTTCTATACAAGTTGTCCATACAGATGATATGAGTCTGGGAAACAGCCTCGTGTTACACACTGACCCCGACAAGATCATCGCTTGTGCGACTTTGAACGGCCATGGCATATGGTTGTCCATCCAGAACTCTGCAACACTAAAATGTTACCATTTGACGACTTTGGAACTGGTTTACGAGATCAACGTCGCCCCAGCTGTCACCAAGATGTTGGCAAGTTAGTATTCTGCCAATACACAGCTTATCTTTTTTGTAGGGATCCTCTTCACAATCGGCGATTACAAACGATTACGCACGAGCCCGATCGTGTAGAGGGCATACTCGAATGTACTCGCCGATCATGGGGTGTATTCGCCGATCATCGTCTA